ACTACTTGCCCTACTCCCATTGCTAATCAAACCACCACCATCATCCAATGTCACATAGTGATCATCGCCTACCTCCCTCATAGGGCTCACCATATCATTATGCATATTCCCCTCTGCCCAATTTTGAATATTCTTAGAGATTTCGTTAACAGCCCCATCAATTGCTTAAAAACCTTCCATTACCAAATCTGTAATTTTAGCAACCACCATAGCAGATTCTGTTGCCCCTTCCACCATCTATTCCACTGTTTTCTCTACCCCCTCAACGCAATTCCCACCACTATCGTCATTGCCAGTCCTCGATGAGGCCTCACCACTACTTCGTTCTTTATTCATTGTCTCCAGTTGCCCCTCCTCCACCCCTCTGTCCTCATTAGAGGAATAATTTTCCAAATCCTCCAAATCAAGTGATTGATCAACGAGACATCCTCTGAGGTGCTATCATCGCTAGCCCATTCTTTTGTCATAAATTGTCCTCCATGTTCCTCCACGATACGCACCGAAAAGCATAAGTCATTCACCAACACCCGTGTTTCCTCATTGATCATCACCTTATACGTTGTACTCATTTGAATTCGGGCATAATCGAGACGCCTTCTTTCCCGTGTAACATCATCAACTTGGACGAAATCCCCCATCGAAGAAACCATTTTAATAAAAAATTCACCTGACCATGCGTGAAGGGGGATGTCATAACAACATACCCATGTCTCACATCGTACACAGACCATCCTCGGATGCCACTCAACTAACTCAGAAAACCACCTCTCCCAAAGCTTTTTATTCAGTGACACCGTATCCTCAAGATTTACACCAGCATCTGATTCCACTAGTACCATATCATCACCCAGCGTTGTCACCTTGATATCCAGGAGACCCTCTTATAGAAAATCTTGACGAATCGTAGTCACCTGGAGATGACGATGACGCCGACCCACCAAAGATCGCTGACATTCCTCAATTACCTGACCATCAACCTTGAAATGAAGATGACCCCAAGGTTCCTTTTTCGCACCCACTGTTTAACCCCCGTATCCGGTACCTCCATATTTCCCTTCGACTTCGTAGTGCTAAACCTCGTCGTTCCTTTCAATTTATCTGCATACGATGCTCCATGAATAAGCATTGCCCTCCCAGGCACACATTGCCTATTAACTTGCACCCGAGTGGCAACATGACCTATGCTCCTCATCGTCCGAGAGTGACGAGTGAGGTTGACCTTTAGCCTTCGTGCTCCAATAACAATAGAGTTAAGACTCCTTTCCAAACCCTCCACATCACAGACACTAGAAAATCGTACGAACCCAAACCTCCGTCCTTGCTTCTCACATTTTTTCGGGATAAACACGTGTCTACTACCGTCCCCCATTTTTAAAAAATTTTCCACAGCACTGATATCTCCTGATTCTCCGCCACATTAGTGAAGAAGAAAGACGAAGAATTATTCAAAATCTTTCTATGGTGTCCTCCAAAATCTCCTTGGGCACCACCCATTTCCCCTTTTTGAAGCCCTATGGAGAAGAAGTAGAGGGGGAGAAGAGTTTATTTACCGGGTAGCACCAGCGAGGTTGAAGGCGAGCTAGCGGCCGTGGTAGCTAATAAAGATGATGAGGTAATTGTAGGAGAGGGATAGGAAGTCTCGTTTGTGGACCTTAACTGGACAGAGAAGGAGAGGTCGAGAATGGCCTTTTGTTGAACACCTCACGGGCACATCACGCTCTTCTCAGAAAAAAGCACAATGGCAACGAATGGCCAGCACCGTAAAGGCCACGTCGAACGGGGCGTTTCAAAGTTTATGAATGGGTCATTTGAGAGTGCAGAAAGAAAGCGATAAGAAACAACGAACAATAAAAAGCATTCCAAAGGAGTTGCTAGTGGAGATTTTGGCCAAGGTGGGAACATGCTCCATCGTTGATCACGGAGAAGGTGGCATGCGAGGGAGTTGAATCTCTGAGGGATATATCCATGAGCGAATTAATCATAGAGAAAACTACGGTGGACGCAGGTTGCTGCCACGGCGGTGCCTGGTGGTTAATGTTAGAATAGTGGATTAAGCCTAACTCAACCCTACAAAACCAGCTTGTAAGGTGAGAGTTGTTTTTCACTTATATACTATTCAATTGCCTAATCTCTAGTCGATGTGGGACTTGGGTTTTTCCCAATACACCCCCTCACGTCCAACACTATTGGGCTTGGTACGTACGTGGATAAATGGTGGGTGACCCTTTTTAATGATCTAGGATAGGCGGGACTTGGGTTTTTTCCAATACACCCCCTCATGCCTACGAGGCATGCATCAATGGTAGGTGGCCCATTTTTAAAGTGGATCTAAATGGCTCTGATACCATGTTAGAATAGTGGATTAAGCCTAACTCAACCCTACAAAACCGGCTTGTAAGGTGAGGGTTGTTTTCCACTTATATACTATTCAATTGCCTAATCTCTAGTCGATGTGAGACTTGGATTTTTCCCAATACACCCCCTCACGTCCAACACTATTAGGCTTGGTACGTAGATAAATGGTGGGTGACCCTTTTTAATGATCTAGGATAGGCGAGACTTGGGTTTTTCCCAATAGTTAACGCCACATAAATCTTATCACGTTAGTGGTTCCAATAATAACATTATTTGCGAATTAGATTCTCCATCTGGCTGCTATGCTGTCCATTTGATGAAGCATGGTGATCATGTCCTTGAATTGAGTACGATTACTAAGTGTTTAGAAGAATTTGGGATCTCTAATCCTGGTGGATGCTTACGTGAGAAAGAAGGTCTCTTTATAATTTGTTACATTTGAATTGATGCACACAATTATGTTGAATAAGTTCAATGCATCCAAAATGCTGTGTTAGAAAAGTTGTGTTTATGCATTTCTTGTGTCTTGAATGGTATACACCTTAATCATTGTGGCTACATTTTGGTTTTTCTTTTAAAATGTCTCAAGAAGTTAATTAATTCAGTACATGCACTGTAGAGTGGAGGAGGTGCGTGGATAAATTATTGCCTTCGTCATGTTTTTCATTATGCAGAATTGGGAAGTAGGGGAAGGGGATATGCTTTCTTTATATATATATATATATATATACATCTGA